TTTACTTTGTTATAATTTCAAATCACGATTTAGAAACGATGTATTTAAATATATTTCTTACAATAACCAAATATCTATAACGTAACATTAAATCACTATTAGATGAAGATCCCACGGTTTACAAGAATATAACAACTATAACGGCAATATAAAACAATAACAATGACACTTACAAAACTATAGTAGCATGAATCACAATTTATTAAAAACGATTTAACTTGAAAATTGTATTTGTTTTTATAAAATGAAAACACAATCAATTTTTATAATCGGGTCAGTTTTTTGGTTTTTTGATAGATTTAATGTTGAACAACTCATTAAACCGCACAAACCGCATAAACCGTCCGCATTAAACCGCACCGCATAACGCGGTTTTGAACATCTGTGGTGCGGTTTGCGGTTTCTAAAATAATCAAACCGCATATGCGGTGCGGTTTGCGGTTTTGACTCTAAACCGCACCAAACCGCACCGCGCACACCCCTAGGTTATACCATATGTAGAGAACTTAAAATACCAAAAATAATACATAATAATATACAACAAAATTGAAATCTATAGTTATAGATAAAGTCCAATAAATCAAAAACCAAATAATATTTAGATTGTAAACTGATATTTTAGTTGGAGATCTTACTATCAACCATAAAAATTAGATTTTTTTGAACGACATAAATTCATTAAAGAGGCTAGCAAGATGTGACATCCCCAATTTCTCGGCCAGAAAAGACCGATTTAATTTATGCTTTTGAAATAAAATCAGAGTAATCTTTTTAAAAGATGTTGCGGAATTTGTCCCCAAAACAAAACATGATAAAAATTTATCAAAACATTTCTTAAAGAAATATATATTTTCATTTTATATCAAAACCTCGGGATGTCATGTTTCGATACATATCAAAAGCATAAACAGTACATTATAAGCCTTACAACAGTTATTTACAATTACTGTCCTATAATCCAAAAATCTCTCATCATCATCCGACTATGCTCGGGGTCCACTGCCTGTAATATAAAAAGCTGAGTGGGTCAGGACTTGGGAGCCTGGTGAGCATATAGAGTTTTCAACCCACAAATAATAATAAATTTATTAAATTCATCAACCAACAATAACCCTGATTACCCATTCCCGTTATCCTCACTTTACGTCCTTAAACACCTATCACAAGGGACCTAGCCTAAGGATTATCATCGGGATGAACACTACTGCTAAGGGGACTCCTCAGCCATACATGTCCTTAAGGCAACCATGAGGGGGATGGAGTACAACAATGAACATATAGTTCACCAACACTTACAAGTTGCGAACCTGCTAGCGTTCCACTGGATTGTCTAGAAAGGTCTGTGGTCGTCATCTATACTCCACTAGATGACTACACAACAACACAACAACAACATCGAGGCCTCTCATCATTTTAACACACATCAACTATTTCGTCTACCCATGTTTTACCCAACATATTTGTAGATAAAAATACATATACAGTTTAAAACTTGTATAAAACATATATTCAACAGTCATCTCAAATAAACAATCAATATAATTACACATAGCACGTATTTTATAGAAAATACTTCATATCTATGTGTAAGATGAAAGTGACTATACACTCACATGATTTAACGATAATTGGGCAGCACTTCGTTTCCTAAAACAATCGTTTCTGATAAAACCGGGAGCTTTAATGAAAAACCGGGCTCTGCAAGGGTGGAGCTTCAAAACCGAAAAGATAAATTTCTCGGGCTCTTCGGGCACTCCGGAACGTGTTTTGGGTGTTGGGTATAATACCGGGGCTTTGGGGGAAGTCGAAATGAAAGAAATATGGAATTTAGGGTGAAAAAGGGCAATTTTCTAAAATATACCCTGGAGGGTTCGCACCTCCCTTTTATAGGGCGAACTTCGGACCGAGGGGGGCACGTGGCTCGCATGCGAGGGTGCCAGGCGTCGGATGCGAGGCTGCACACGCGGGTGATGCGAGACCGAGACACGGGGAAGGCAGGAGGCGGCTTCTGATTGGCCGAGCCTTCGGTGCGAGGAGGGTGCGCCATGCGTCGCCAGCTGGCCTCGGATGACTCAGCAATTTGGACACGCGGCATGCTGCTAGCGAGGGTGACGTGGCCGAAGTTGAGCCATGCGAAATTCCTCGGTTTTAGCATTTTTCTCGATTTTTGTGTCCCAAACTTCTAAAATCCATAACTTTCGCATACGAGCTCCGTTTTTGACGTTCTTTATATGCACGCATAGGTAAAATTATGCTCTACAACTTTCGTTTAGACTCCGTCGGCTAGTTTTGACTTTAATTTTAATATTATTATTTTTAACAGATCGGGAAAGGAAAATTCGTTAAAAATTCATAACTTCATCCGACGTCCGTTTTCGTCTGTCTTTTTGCCCGTTGTACTACTATTGACGAGACCTTAGATTATCGTTTAGGTTGTGTCGGCTAAAAATCACTTGATGTAAAATTCGAGTTTTTAGCTGTCTACTGCTAAGCTGAAACTTAGAAAAATCATAACTTCCTCATACGAAGTCAGATTTGGGCGTTTTTTTATGCATACTTTCGGTTTAACGAACACTACGACTTTTGTTTAGATTTCTAAGGCTAAAAAACACTTTATCGTAAATTCACTTTTTACGTCACACAGCGTCATGCTGGTTTTTGTCGCGAAACTTCGACAGGTCATAACTTCTTCGTTATAACTCGGATTTCGGTATTCTTCATATATCTGGAATCCTTGTCACGACCACTACAACTTCCTTCATAGATATTGGGTTTATCTAATATTTATTTTCGACGCTTATTTTTATTCTTAATTAATTAAATCTTAATAATTAAGCATAAAACGCATAATTCACATAATAATCACATAATTCCTCTTTATTTTTTCAAAATGAGTTACAAAGGTTGACCTAGAATATTACATAATCATTAATGCCAATCGTAGAAACACGGGCGTTACACAAGACGCTAGAAGAAATTACAAGTTACAACTAAAAATATGAGAATTGCACCAATCAAACCAACATAACGACTCAAATCTAGCTCGATACTTGATCCAGTTAAAGGATGCGACTTGAATATCATCCGCCGTCCGCATTGGATTGCGTTTTTGTTTTTTGAAGCGAATATCATTTTTGACTTTCCACAGAAACCACAACACCGAATAAGATAAGGCAGTGAGTAAATTGCATTTCATCTTGTCCGCTCCCATGGAGCTAATCAACGACTTCCGAGAAAAGAAATTGTGAGGGATCTCCAATTGACTACCAGCCCATGAGAAGAACCGTTTCCACACCTTTGTAGCATAATCACAATCGAAAAAAACATGTACAGTCTCTTCATCCTCTGGCCGACAGAATTTGCATGAAAAAGAGTCAATAGTAGCAAGGTTGCGAGCTACTGGAATCTTGTTTAGCATGAGCAGCCACACAAAGCAATTGACCTTCAAGGGAATCCAACTAACCCCTTTAAAAACAACTGCAACAGCATCAAAAACTGCATCAGCCACATGCTGCCTTAAAGAATGAACCAAGAAAATACCATTTCCGTTTCCTTTCCACCTCCATGAATCTCCTGTAGCAGAAAGAACAACCCCACCCATCTTCCTGTTCAGCTCCACCAGAGAATTTGCCTCTCTACCCCTTCTAATGGCCCGTTTCCAGCACCAAAACTTTCTATTTTCGCCCTCTGCAGTGTCTCTGGATAGCCTCTCAGTCACTTTGCAGTTTTTATGGACCTAAAGCTTATACAATTATGGGAAAACATCTTTGAGAGACATGCCATCTAGCCACTTATCTTTCCAAAAATAGGTTTCGTTTCTAGCCCCCAGTTTTCTCTCCAACAGCAACTCCAGATCAATTTTCCACTCATCCAACTCATTATATAAATTGGCTTATATTTAACCATGTGCCCGGAAGACAAGTCTTGGCAATTGCTTTACCATCAATTCCGCTAATATTATGCCATGCCTTTATGCAATTTAACCAAAGATTTTTACATTCCATTTTAAACCGCCATATCCATTTAGCTAAGAGGACCAAGTTTAACGACCTAAGGCACCCAACATCGAGACCTCTTTTTTATTTTGGTGTGACCACGGTTTTCCAAGAAATCAAATGGATCTTCCAACTATATCCGCTTTGCCATTCCAAAGGAACTTCCTCCTAATACCCTCCAAACAATCAATAATCTTCTTCGGAGCCTTGAAAAGCGAGACGTAGTAAAGCGGAAGGCTACTCAACACATATCTAATAAGGGTAAGACGACCCCCAAAAGATAATGCATTTGATTTCCAAGAAGATAAAAATTAGATAGACTCAACATAACAACCACAATCATAAACAATCGATCATTTGATATGTTCTTATTAATTAGTAGTCATTTATCAATTTTTGTCTACGGATGTCTTATATGATTGATGTTTAAACCTCGTCACAATTGTGTTTTTTAAAAATTCATGTCGTTATACAGACCGTCCATGATCGATGAAGTATTGTTTCATCAATTGAATTATCTCAATAACGAAAAGTGATAGCAGTTAAGCACGACTCCTCAGGCCTACTCAAACAAACACATATGAACAGCCCAGCAATATATCTATTAGCAGGCCCAAAAAACTTAGACCGCCGCGGCGCCAGGTCGTTTACGGGATTAACAGCTCATCAATAACCGACGGCGAAGTAGAATTGGTCAGCGCTCCATGTTGCATACAGAGTTTGCTTCTTCTTTTTTTAATGACCATAGAGAGTTTACTTAGTCAGTGTTATCTCAACTTTCCATTGGATTCCAGTTCGGTTGTTGCCACTACGTGGCCATGATTTCCTTTTTTTAGCTTGCATTCATGTCATTTTTCTTTTAAATACTGTAATTGTTTCTTATGGGAATTAAGAAGAAAATTGCTACAACCTAGTAGTTTTTTTGGAGAATAACCAATCTCGAACTTGGATCTATCAAAAAGCTTAAAACAACCAATTGACGTTTTTCAGAAAGAAAGAAAAAATCGACTGATTTAACATACATAGCTCAGTTTCTAGTCAATGAAATGACTATATTAAAGTATCTGGTTTTCTTCTTTGCTAGATCTTCGGCCACTCGCATTTGAAACTTTTGAAATAGCACATCAATATTTATTGAATTCCCGAAATGAGATGTCAACATCGGTTCTGAAACAGCTCTCACAACTTTAGCACAGTTTTTCCCATGGATGTGGCTGATCTGCTCATTCAAATCTACCATATTTGTGTAATCCGTGTCATATGGATCCCAGTTACCTTGAAAAGCATTAAAGGTATCAAGAAAAAAGGATCCCTCTTTGTGAATAGCTTTCCTGACTTCATCCTCGCATGGAGTATAATATGGGACATTGAATGAGTTAATATATGATTCTTCGACCAGCCCCTATATATAGTTTTAAAAAGCATAAATGGCTAGATCGTAATTAACACTGAATAAAAATATCGGTGGTTAGTTTGTAATTATCTTATGTACGTGTGGATATAATAATGATGAACTGCATACCTCTTTGACCATATCGAGAAGTGATTGTGATAATAGCTTCAAATGACGGCAACCATCATCAGTGGTTGGATCAGCACTGCTGCGACCAAGAAATGTCAAAACCATGCACCCACCACGTACTACTTCTTTGGCACGAAGTTCTAAAAACTTTATAAAGTCAGTATGAAATTGCTTTCCATATGCTTCAAACACATTGGGAGGACTTGTTTTTGCCATGTATATATTTGTTTTGTTGTTTTCAATGCCTTCAGGTACCTATCAGATCATCGTAAGTTTGTACTAAAAACAGTTTGTATTAACAATTACTTGGAGTTCTTTATGTTCAAACCTGAGAAAGCCAATGAACAGAATAAGAGGAGTGAACAAGGTGTAAGCTTTCATCTGGAAAGAGCCTGCCATAAAAGGAGCCTGGAATAGCTGAAACAAAACAAGACCCAAAATTCTCTCCCTTCTCCTTCTTAAGGTTTGCTCTAAACTTCGGTATCAATTGGAAAATGGTATTGAAATCATTTCCAAAAAGATCATTTATGAAAGACTTGAAATTGTGGTGCTGTAAGATTATTTTCTTTACAGAGCTCAAGGACTAAATCAATAACCATAGATGCAAGCAATAGTGTATTTGTGCCGGTGCCACATCCTAAATCTGCTAATACGAAAACTTTGCTGAAGGCCCTTTCAAAATTAACCATTCCCTTGATTGTATGCTTTAAAACGTGCAGTGTTTTCCGTACGGCAATTTCCTGAAAAACAGAACGTTTTAAGACGCACTTGTTAAAAAGTTTCGATACTTTTGAGAGACTTTCGTATACTTTGACCATGAAAATTTATTATCACTGGAAACACTCGTTCACATATACATAGAGGTTAATTTGGTGGTGATGTGTGTGTGGGTGGGTGGGTCGGGGAACAACCGGTTTCCCAATATGTGCATGTAAGGAGAAAGCTACGAAAACCTGAAGAAATGAGTTACTTGCGTAGCTTGATTCTCCATCGCCGACTTTCATGTGAAGTGTGTTTTCTACTTCCATGACCATTTTTCCTTTGCCTGTGTTCTAAAGCTGCCTTCATTTATAAGCTGTTATTAGTCATTAAATCCAAATAAAAGTCAACGAAAAAGAAACTGAAGATAAAAGTCAACAATGGTGGCCAAATAAATCATTTAATACCCATACCCATATATAATAGATATAGTATCTTGTAGAAATGAGGGTGTATCAATGAAGAAAACAGAGCAATAAGTCTCTTCTGAAAACAAGTAGCAACTTTTGTTTGTATGAAGTATTAAAGTCTATAGTCTGTGTGTTCAGCCACTGTTTTGTGGTTTGTGTATTTGTAATTAATTTTGAATTTCAGCCACTATATTTAACTAAGGCTAAAGGGTTTCATGTTTTTTTTACCAATGGTAAATGGCCCCACCTAGACTTTTACATTTTTTACATTTTTTACCTACGAAGTGTGGTGTCGTGCCTATGAGTTTTTTCTTTTAATTTCATTTTAGCAAAATATTAATTTTTTTTAAAACCATACTAAAATTTAAAATAACATAAACTTAAAAATTACAATTTCGAAATCCTAAAAATTAAAAAAAAAACATGAAAATTAAAATTACATTGAAAACCTAAAAATTAAAAGTAAAACATGACGTTAAAATTTAAAAACCTAGAAAAAAAACAAAGCATCGAATTTTCAGTTGTGTTTCAGATTATATTTTTCCCGAATCGATGTTTTCATAATTCTTGCCTCTTCTTGATCTTCGGGGTCGAGGTGCCTCACGTCTTGCATTAACAACGTATACTCGGTGAGTCAGACGGTTTCACCCATATGCTTCTCCAAAGTTGAGTTCAATTGTGCCATTTGTGTCATCATTTCTTTCGATCTGGCTGACCGCTCGGTTCCGACCAAAGAATTTGAAGAAGTCGCTTTCCCTTTTCCTTTTGCTCGAGCTTTTGTTTTGTCCCTTCCCATTGGACGAGGAGGCGGACGTATTTCTTCAATGTCGTCATTATCATCATTAAGATTAACGCCTACGTGATCATTCGATGAGACTTGTTGCGAGCTCGAATATGAAGATGTCCGACTTCTTTTTGGCGGATTTGCAATTTCTTCATCTGTTGCAAGTTCCCTCCACCTAATGCTTCTTTTGACAACTTCCCACGCATGAATAAACTTAAAAGACTTTTGCATATCATATTGGAATGCAGCGTGCGTTTTTTTCAACAAACTCGTTTCACTTTCTCCGCTAGCCCATTGCTTCTCAAAGTTTGTGTAAATTCCATTCCAATGTGTGACGACTTTGTTCATAAGATTCCATTTGGAGTTACATTGGCCGGAGGCCCGATAATCTGGATTTCAACTCATTCCCTTACAAAAGCGCTCCGTGATACGTAACCAAAACTGATCACGATTTTGACCCTTTCCCGTGCCACCATCTTCAGATATGTCGACCCATGCCCTTGTTAACTCAACTTCTTCTTTTTGTGTCCATCTTCTCGGATCAGCCTTCAATTTCTTTTGTTGTTGAGGTTGTTGTTGTTGCTGTTCTTCATGTTCAGTTGAAGGTGTGAATGGCGGTTGGGATGGAAATTGGGTTTGAGATGGTTGGGTTTGAGGTTGAGATTGGAAATGGAATTGTTGGGGTATTTGAAATTGTGAATAATTGCTAGAAACACCATCCATTTGTGGCCGGTAAGGTGGCGTTGTTAACATTTTGGTATGAAACATTTTGTTTGGAAGAGTTTGGATTGTTGGAAGAAGACATTTTCAAAGAAAAAATTGTTATTGAGAGTGTATAGTGTAGTGATTTTTTGAAAATTTGATTTGTATATATAGTAGATTAAAAACAGAAAAAAATGAAATAGGCCAAAACTAGCCGTTGCCGGCCATTTGACAACGTTCCATTATTAAAATCCCCACAAAAATCACATATTTGTCATCAATAAAGGATCACCGGTGGTGAAATCCCCTTCACGGCGCGGTGTTCACTGGCAGTGAAAGGGGGCCACGTCGGACACCGCCGGTGTCCCCTTTATCATACCATTCAGCCTAACAAGTAGTATCAAAGCCCATATTTTGTTCCATCTGTAAAAGAAGGGTGATGAGGAACATGATTCAACCGGGGCCGGTCCGAGGATGCTTGGGGCCTGGGGCAAAAGTAGAATCGAGGCCCTTAAATTATAGAATTTTTGAATGTTTTTTAAATAGATCGGTTCGATTTGATCCATTTAAATAAATTCAATTTAATTTCAATTCTCAATACTTGGATTCAAATTTTTTTAATTAATTCAATGCGAGATGAAACAACCAAACTGTTATTCTGTTGGATCAGTTTTAAAAATTTGTTTTACGAGAGCATGGACATTTTAAAAAATAAATAACTTGAAATATTAGTTAACTCTGTAAAACATAAATTATTTGGGTGTGAGTTAAAACTCATAAATATATTTTAATCTAGTATTATATATACAAAAACTTTTAAGAATAAATATACACGTTAAGGACTTTTAATTAGTGAGACTTTTTAATCTATTTGAAAAATAAATTTAGATATTAAAAAATAATTAAAAATATATATTAAAAAATAAAAACTAAATAATAATTTGTTATTCTATTCTTATTTTATAAGCCACAATAAATCTGAAACAAAAATAATAATTTTGTTTATCTGGAAACCGATTTAGAAATCTAAATATATAAACCATATAATCAATCTAATCGTTTTATTCTATTATATCCAAATAGTGAAAATCTTTTAACGAAGTTCATATTATCATTAAATTTTTAGTTAATATTTAAAGTAATTAAGGAAAAAAACACTATATTTTACCAAAAATATGGTTTAATTACCAATTTTTAATTAGTTCCAAAAAAACCATCATTTTTGGTAAAATGTTTCGGTGCGGCCATTGTTACCTATTAAAACCGATTTTAATTATGAAAAAAAACACTATATTTTCCAAAAATTTCGGTTTAACCACCAATTTATGGGTGGTATTTTAGCACCAAATGAAAATTGGTGGTTTTTATTTTAGCACAAATGCATGTCATAGTGGTCGTGATAGAACTTTTATTTAAAAACGGATGGTTTTTTAGCACATCGTTATTAATTAATTTATATCAATAGTATAAACAAGTAATATAAATATAATGTCTACAAATAAGTATTTTATTTAAAAGTGGTAATTTTTTTATTACTTAATGACAAATAATAAAGTTCAATTATTATTTCCCCGTAAGAAACTCTTCACCAAAATAACTATTTGTCGTCGCTCCCTTGCTCGAGCACACATCTAGTGTGTGTGTGTATGTGTGTGTGTGTGTGTGTGTGTGTGTGTCTATATATATATGGTGGGATATCAAGTCCACCAAGCAAGTTACATCATTTGTTTGCAAATAAAACGTAATATAATGGTAAAAAGGGGTATCGATCCTTGGGGAAATGGTTGTATTCAATCACCAATGCAATCCAATAGAACTAGTGTAAATAAACTAACTAACTACAATTAAACTAAAAGGGGGGTGTTGTGATTGCTTGAAAACTAAAAGACTTGAATAACTAAAAAACTTGCAATTAAGCAAGATGGCGAGATGCTCAAATGTTGAGAATAATTGGTTAACCAAGGCAATTCAACACAATGAACATTTGTGTGTTTATCATTAGGATTCAATACAAAGCTTATCATTCATCCCAAATTGGTTATAGCAATCATGAAGCATGATATGCCAAGATTTTTCATAGGTAGTATGGAGGTTGGGGAAGCCCACAACACACATTCTTAATCAAAATCAAAGATCCAATTGAAGCAATTGAACCCAAGAAGTTGATTAGCCTTAAGAATGAAGGAATCCCCAATTCCTAGAGGATGTCAATGCTTACACATCCATAAAGAAGCTATGATTCATAAGCTAGAGATGATTTCTACCATCATAAAGCTCTTGTTCTAAGTAAATTCAATGATTCAATGCTAAACCAAAGAAATAAACTAACAATTGCTCATTCAAGTACCAAGCTCATGATCAAAGTATTAAACAAGCATAAGAAATATGAACTAAAATCATAAACATAAGATAAATGATAAATAAGCATGAATCCTTCAAAAACCCACAAGCATTCAAAGGTTTTAGCCAAAGTTAACAAAAATAGTGAATTTAGCCACTCATGGCAATAGAATAACAATCACAAAAGTCTAATTGCATCCAGAAACTAACAATTACTTAGGAAGATAAGAAGAATGTGTATCCAAGCTCCAAAAATCGCCTCCTCTGGTCTCTAATGGTGGAAAATCGAAGTGATAGCTGAAAGATCCCACCCCCAAAGTAAATGGTAAGCCAAATGACCAAAATGCCCAAAACTGGATAGTTGCGCGGGTACCCGCGCGCGTGAAAATCTACCCTCACAAATATTGCTGGAATGCTATTGGCTTATTTTCCTCCACTAACCATTCCACTACCAAAGATTCCCTTGGTCCCCTCCATATCCCACATGATTCAAATTAACTACTCATCTTCTAGCCTCAAATATGGATGCTCCAAGCCCAAAATAACAATCCATGATCCATCTTCATAAGCCCACTTCATCCAAGTCTTTAGCTTTTCAAGCCTAAATCTCCTTTTATGGATCTGCAAAGCCCAATAATGTCTCGAAAGCCCACAAAGCCCATTTCCAAGCTAATCCATAACCGCAACAAGCTCTAAAACCCTACAAAATATCTTATGCAAAATAGAAAGTGTCTGATACGATCCATGATAAAGAAAATAAAGAATATACAATGCAATACTAATAAAAAGAGCTAAAAATACTAAAATAAACTAATAAAAATAAGGAAATAAAATAAGCTATCAAATCATCCCAAGCTTAAACCTAACTTGTCCTCAAGTTAGAACAAGACTAAAATGAGCTCGGGATGAGTTAAACTAAAAAGGAAAAAGAAAGATACCATAGAACTTTGTCAACATCAGTCAACATGGTCAGAATTAGTCTTTCATGGACCCTACGCATCTTCAAAATGTTCCCCGCTCTAGAACCATAAACCACATTCTCATCCACTTGATGGGCGAATTGATCACGACTGGATGTAGTCGCGGTGTGCAAGACAAAGGAAACAGAGGATGCGCCTAGTGGGGGCACTTTAAATCACCAATGTAGACCATAGTGCATGAAGGAAAGGCGCCTCTTCATACACTATGATTCCTACATTTGTTAGGCTAAAGTGTATAGTACGAAATAGGGTTTTGCAGCGCGGCCTCCGGGCAAACATGCGGTTTCAGAGGCTTCTCCCTTGTACTGTCCTTTACAGTTTACTGTCTCATCTTCATTTCCTTTTCTCACCAAAAATCAAAAATAAAAATAAAATAATAAAAATCTACTTATCCTAAATCTAAACCTAACAACTTAAGTCTTCAATCTTGATCTTCTGTTATTTGGCTTGCAGTCTTCTTACTGCTTGATTTTTTTTTGAAAGAAAGTCTTGAACTTGGATTCTTGTTATTCTTTTTGTGTTGCTCTTTTTCTTCATTTTTCTTTTTTGTTATTGTTGCTTTTCTTTAATCTTCTTCATTGTTTCCTTTTTTTTCTTCACTTTTCCAATTTCTTCATTTTTTTGTGTTTTCTTCTTGGAGGTCTAAGGAATTTCACCATGTAACATAGGATGGAGGCTAACATGAACACCTAATGATCATTACAATGTACCAAGATCAACTAAAAATGGTAGGATATGACTCAAAAATGGGTGTTACCGAAAAAACTTGATCCCAAAAGATGTGAATTAGGGGACCCACTTCAAAGTTAATCAAGCACCTCAATGCAAGGCGTGATAAACAAAATCTATCTAACTATCTACTCTAGATCCCTAGAAAAATGATGACCTATCTTAAAAAAGGTGGTGAGAATCTAACTAAGCAAGGCTCGGACGAGACTCGGGAGTACTAAGGGGTATTCCCCCCAAAACCAAGATGCGAGTCTTCAATGTCTTCAAAATACCTTACCGGGCTAATCTTTGCTTGCACACATCGGTTTGACCAACCACATCCCTCCGCACCTAGACCCAATCAAGCTACCTGCATCTGACCCCCACACAAGTGGTATCAAAGTGGTCTGTGAGGCTCAAAATGTGTCCCATTTATCAAATACAAGGAATTCCATATCAAGACTCGGGACCAATATATGATTCAATACTTATGACTCGGCGCTATGGTACCTGTAGGGATGAGAAGACAATAGAGAACAAAAATGCATGAACTTAAACTAGAATGCATCTAAAAAGTATGAAAATTAGAAAAGAAAGAAACAAAATATGCAATATTTT